CGGGGGCTCAGGTGTGCCGCGCCGCGACGCGCCGCTCGAAGCCGCTCGCGGAATGCGACGGGCGTCGCGAGTGGCGCGGCATGCCGGAAGTGGACGGAACCGGGAAAACGCAGCGCCACCGCACCCGCACTCGGCACTGCCGCCGCGCGGTCTGCTCCGACGCCGCCCCCGCCCCCTCCCCTCTTCTTTAGTTCGCGTGCTCCCCTACGGTGCTGCGTTACGTCATCCGACTCTTAAGCGCCACCTTTTCCGACTCCCCCATGAAAACTTGAGTACCTATATAGGGAGAGTAGCGACAGATCTGAAACTCCGAAAGTCCATCAGGCCTTCACCGATGCCTCCGCGAATAAAGTTAGGGCCCAAAAGGGCAGCCAACCTATGAATTTCGAATGTCCAGAGCGATTTACAAATACAATTGTTACGAACCGTCGTTTAGAAAGCATGTACTTGGTTTACTTTTTGCATAAATTTACTTATTTTTGCGAAAGAACGCTCATTTATGTACATTCTTAGCCCTCTTGGTTAGAATTGAAATCTGTAGGCTGGCAGTGAAATTTTGTGTGTTAGAAGTTGCTCAGAAGGGCGGCTGCACTTTTGGGCCCTAAGCCCTCCATGAACCGAGCTGTCGCTACTCTCCCTATACAGGTACTCTAATGAAAACCACACTGCCGTGATAGGGAAAAGAGCAGTGAGTGCAAACATTATTATTTTAAGAAAACGGGCTCAGAAGCGCCTGACGGGAAAATTTTGTTGAAAGAAACCTCCGTTCTTTGTCAAATGAGCCACTTAACAAGGTCTGAAGTAAAAGAAAACAACGGAAAGTTTTGAAATCAACTCCTGAACGAAATATTCAAAAGTCGTTTAAACACAGATCACAAATGGACGTATTTCTACCAAACAGACCTATGTGGAGGTGAGAAATGTGGGGTGTGCTCGTTAGTTCTCTGGCCGTAAGAGTGAATGGGAATGTTAAAGCGCCAGTGACGTCAGCGGCAATGATAGTGCGCACTCGAGCGAGGGGGAGATCGCTAGAATGAGCCCTTTACTCATGAGCCCTGTGCACAAGGCTCTCTTGCCATGCCCGCGGCTCATGAATCCCGCATTCGGTTGCCACATAGGTCTCTTTGATGGAATGTAAAATCCCGCTTTTCCAATTCTTCAAAAGGAATCACGCCCACTTTTTCATTGCTTCTTATGCAGCTTCCAAGAGCACACCCCATATTTCTCACCTCCACATAGGTCTGTTTGGTAGAAATACGTCCAAATAGAAGTTCGATTATACAAATGACACGTTTGTAGTTTTGCCATTTGACCAATGTTAATAGAAAACGCTTATATCTCGTTCAGGAGTTGAATTCCAGACTTCCCGTTGCGTGATTCGTTTTCCTCGTGAAATTTTGCAGAGAAAAGATTTAGGGATGCTCTTTAATTCAAACCTTGTCTAGAGGTCCATTGCCACTAATCATCTGAAAGACTTAGAAGTCGTAGGAGGAGAAAAAAGTTCTAAAATATATGTACAGGTATGAAAAAATCTACGGGGTACTGAGAGTCAACTAATTACATTTGGACTGCATTTTGCAATTTGGAACTATAAATTCTGGCCTGGTTTAAAAAAAACGCATGTGCCATTAGTATCCCTATGCATATAAGTGTTTTTTTCAGATGAGCCAGAATTTATAGCTCCAAATTGCAAAATGCAGTCCATTTCATGGTATTCAACAATTAGAGGAGACACCATCGACTATTCTTTCATTGCGCTGCAGTTATTATAGCTGATAATAAGGATGAAAGACTAGGAGAATGTGGGTCAATAGAAAATCAATCGCCTCCTCTTAAATGACTTTTTACAAAATCCCGCGTCTTTATCAAGAGACAATAAGGACAAGCAGCTTTGAAGCGACGAAACCCCATCATAACGTCATCTTCAGTTACATCACATAATCATGTTCTGAACTCCCACACGAGCAAACTAGGAATAGGAGGGGTGACAATCGAACCGTTTGTATCGAATGGAGCAAAAGACCCAACAGCGCGATGAGCTCTGAGTCGCGATGGATAAGAAACACCCAAAAGCTCACTGAGGTTAGTCTCTTGAGCCCTTTGTAAATAAACGACTTATAGAGTGGTGCATGGCGACCGATCTCTCGGACACGTTTCGACCTCCTATCAAAGTTAATAGTCGCATGTTCTGAGCAAATATTCTGATGCGACCGATATCGACAAAAGCAGTGAAATTAAAAACGCAGCAGCTATCGCCGAGCAAAAGAAACGCTTCGACGATAAGCAGAATCAACACTTGAACTCGGAGCATTGTATGCTGCCATACGCTAAGGAAGAACGTCGTATGAACATTCGAGAGTTGTCAAATTTCCCCCGATAAAACATGAACTTTTGACGACATTCGTGCACATTTTCCTTTGAAATTTTCAAATATTTTAGATTGCAATACGTACGAAATTCTCTGAAAATTACGAAAAATATATTCACAATTTACCCTGCGAATTTGGTATTAATCGAAGGAGATTTGGCAACGTCTGATGGCTTATACGGCGTTCTTCCTTAGCACGGCAGTATGGGAGCAGGCTATTTTAGGTGACGACTCGAGATGGAAAAAAACCGAGGGACGTGCTCTCCTCCTCGAGGAAAACTGCGACGTTCTCATCCTTCGGAGCTCATAAATTAAAAGCTTCGCCTTTTTTTAAAACGGGGGAGCTGGCGACCGATAAGGCCCATCCACTCGAATGAAAAGGAGCATGGAATGAGATACTGGCGAGAGGCTATCCAGTATCCATTGTAATTCCACGAGTTTTTTTTCTGGAGCTTTTCGTACTTTCGCTACGTATCCACACTCAGATTACGCTTCGAGAGAAATCTTCGAATCGGATGTAGTAGAACCTCGTATCATTCTTCTCATTATCGCTGCTAAGAAATATAAAATTCCAAATTTTCGGCATTTTGGTGGTGGGCATTTCCTTTCACCTGACTTTTCGGACATTAAAATTTGAATTTCTTTTTCGGATTTCAAAGTCGCTGGCAGCCTTAATTGAACTACACTTTACAATTAGGAACTACAATTTCTGGCTCATCCGTAAAAATACTTATGTATACAGGGAACCTGATGGTACATACGTTGTTTCGAAATTGAGCCAGAAATCGTAGTTCTTAATTGCAAAATATAGTCCAATTGTGGCATCATTAGACTCGTAAAAGGACAGGATAGTATAAATCCAGGTTGATGTGAAATATTTGTTTTCAATGACCAAGTCCATACTGCATGCTGTGCCTTAAAAATGTTTCCATAATTTTTGCATAGTTTCATTATGTACTTGCAGTAGTAGTGCGTAACTTTCAATAAAATCTTAACTACTAATTGGTGCCTTTATTTTGACACCAATTTTGAGAGCACCAAAATATAAGATTACAATTTTGATTACTGCATCTATTCAAAACTGATGAAATTATATTGCATACTTTTTCAATTTTAGTCGTATTCAGTGTAATCATTTAGTGACATCAAGTCCGGTTTATACCTTACTCGGACGCTGCAGCGACATTACCTTGGGAATCTTCGACGTGCTGAAATGCGGACTACTACGAAATACATCAACAGCCTGGTCATGGCTTAAAATTATTTTACCTAAAGGGGCGTGTCAGGAACAGGGGGTCCTAGGCGCATTCTTTAATTAAAATTTCTCCGGTGGGCCGACTTCGCACGCATGGCGGGATTTTCGAAATGGGTCACGGACAGGGGACCCGCATTCCGAGTTTAGTTCTCCATCCAAAATATATGGGTTAAGTTGCGGCTCGCCTAACGCGCTCACGAAAACTCAGCATCCGCGCGAACAGCACCGCCATCTTCCGTTCCGTTTCCCCAACCCGATTCATCTGCCGTCGTCTATTAACAAAATTAGCACAGTTCTTCTTTAATCATTGGAACTTAACGTATAACTTCAAGCATCTAGTAGAGCAGTTGCATGTGTGAGGAATTTGCGATTTGACTGTTGATTCTCACGTAAAAGTTCGCGAAAAATACGATGGTGCCACTGGTTTTCTCTGAAATCAACTCCCAAGCTAAAAAAAAGCTCTCAAGTTGAGGCTAAAATGGAGGGGATATCCCACGCTATCTTGAGAGTCCACCTCTACATCAAGACAAACTCTCCATGCGAAGATAGGGAGCAAATACATTGACAGAGCTGCCACTTTATTTGGAGACTATAAAACTGAAAACACGCCATCACTGTTAATGTATTTGCTGCTCCCTATCTTTGCATGGAGAGTTTGTCTTAATGTAGAGGTGGACTCTCAGGATAGCGTGGGATATCCCCTCCATTTTGGTCTCAACTTTAGAGCTTTTTTTGAGCTTGAGAGTTCATTTCAGAGAAAACCAGTGGCACCATCGTGTTTCTCGCCAACTTTTACATGAGAATCAACAGTCAAATCGCAAATTCCTCACACATGCAACATCTCCATTGTAAAATGACAGACTTTAAGTAAGTAGCCTCCGCTCCAAAAGTAGTGGGGTGGGTACCTACTCTACGACAATTTTAAAGATAACCATTTTTTTTAAATTATTTTTTTTTTTTCATGAGCCTCCTCGCTTTGGAAAAATATACCGACTTTCAAAACTTTTCATTGACTTTTGAATTGTCACCTTGTTACAATTGGACGATGTTTAATAACTAAATGACCGAATTGAATTTTACATTTTCTCCCCTTTCTTCTTATTCTCTTACTTCTGTAACAAACTATTTCGTCATTCCATAGACGGAGGAGCTATACTTACTAACGTTGCAAAATTTCCATTTGCAAATTGTGTTTTTACTGAGGAACTTTCGTTAATTTCTAACCGGCATTTTTACTGACTTCTCTCCGGGTTCTACGCAAAATTCAGCAAAATTTTACACAGTAACTACCACACTGTCATAATTTGGCGTAGAGATAAATTGTTTTATTGTGAGTCAATTTTGCTATCATGGCATGTAATTTCGTTCCTTTGCACAGGAAAAAACTATTTGGCAAGAATGCTCAAGGGGCCCAACCATCGTTATTGCGGGCTTTGCGTGAATAATTTCAACGAAACAAAGAAAACCACTAAGTTTAAAAAATAAAGCTTAAAAAAATGTAAGGTTAAAATGCTGGACTTGAATGTAAGTATGCACATTACACGTCGATGGCGTTCAGTTAAAACTTCCTCCCTTGACCCTCTAGATTTGGTGAAAGCGGTGCGGTCGGAATATCTGTGTCAGCTTTTGAAAAATCAATACGAATTTCAACCCTAGCGCCCTGGCACTACGAACAAGGAAGTAGAGCCCTTGCGTTGGTGCTTAGGAGCTTAAAGTTCCGACCGGTCGATTCCTCACTGAAAGTTCAAACTATTGCCTCCCGAGTGAATACTGCAGGCAATAAAGCATGAAAGCTCTTTGACGAAATGATGGATAATCTAAGAAGAATTTTATATGAGAGAAGGTTTGTGATTAACTAGAAGTTGAGTTGGTTTGGACTGAAGAAATGACTCCAGTCTGAAAACGATTAGACTTCTACATTTTTACGTTGAATATTTTCTTCATGATTAAAGTTCTTACACCAGTAACTAGACGTGATTGTGTCAAAGAAAAGTTCTATACTTCCTTCAATCTTTCAAAATCCCTTGCTTATAAACTTTAGGGTTAGCCACTTTTTCTTACAATTTGTTGGGGATTATGGAGAAAAAGTTTAGTACGTAGGATGACCAAATAAAGTTTTGTAAGATTTTCCAAATATTGTTTCAAAGAACACAACGCAGCACACTATCTCTTGAACTAAACAATTTTTGAAATGCTACGGAGAGAAAAAATGGTTTCATGATAGAAGCGCTTGGTGCAGATAGAGCATTTCTTGGTTACCGTGTTTTAGAATCTCCTCTGACGTTTGATCTATCATAATTAAGCAAATGAGTAGAATTCGTTGAAACTTTTCCTGAATTTTCTTTCTGATTTCACAATGCTGAAACCGGAAAACATCGGAAAATTCACCTCATAGTTTCCTCTCTAAAATATAAATTAGCAGTATGGATTCCAAAACACCGCCACAAATAAATGCCCTTTTTGCACCTGACTCCTCAATAAACCCTTGCAGAATGAAATGAGACCCGCGACAGAAAGGTTTTCTTTTACCTGCTTCCAGGGATTGTGCACTGTCAGAGAATTACTTCATACTTGCTGATGAACTTACCTGTAACAGAGAAACAAAGAAATTAGCGTTTCTAAAAATAATCGGACGGGTATAGCAATGGGATGATACAACAAAATGGAGAGCCCTGTACTTATCCTCCCCCCCCCCTCCCACAGCGGGTCTGTGATGAGATTCACCTTGATGCGCGAATAAAAGCTACGGCCGAGTTCGAACAATAAGCGGATAAATCGTGTGTCAGTCAGATACCAATGGCGGACCGCCTTTCGACAAACCCCCTCTCAATCGGTAGATAGACAAAAGGCACATCGACAAACGTTGAGCCTCACGGAAGGGCATGCTGTTGGGAGCGGGAGGTTTTCTCGGTGATCAATAAGCAAGTAAGTGTGCACAATTTTCTGGACTAGAAGTGTAAGACTTCGGGTGGCCTAGAGACACTTCATTTAAATGACTTGCATTCATAGAATGTACTTCAGGTATATGAATTCGTTGACGTGTAATAAAACCTAATCCAGCTGGCAAAGTGAGGCGATTATCATTGATAACAATTAATTATGTTAGAGAAGGTTATATTTATGAATCCAAAAAAGGAAGATCAGTACCTCAAATCGACTCATCATTCTATTTAGAGGGATATTTATTTATTTTTGCAATGATAAAAAAGCGATTAGGGGAGAGATGCGAAGAAACCCTTGATATGCTGCGTGAAATGAACTGGATCAAATATTTCCATTTCAATTCTTTACGACTCGTTCAGAAAAAATACATATGATAGGAACAAAATAGAAGAAAATTGCCGCGTAAAAAGTTGTAATTCAATGTTGATGGAGCACACGAAAAAATACATTTTATCTAAAGAGGAATCTTATCAATGATGTTTTTGTATAATCCGTCGCAGAAAGGAATATTTCAAACGATTCCTCCTTGATCCATCGTGCATTTATACTATGGGGATGCTTATTAAATCGAATGCGTAAAATATGTTTATGCTATAGGGAACTATGTGAGAATGAATCAAATTAAAAGGAACAGTTTGCAAAGGGTTTGCAAGCTACATAATTTCTTTTAATTTTATTCGTTATCGCATACTGCTCTTCGCTTGTGAGTATGGTCATTAGTTCTTGAAAAAAAATGCTTCAAATTAAGAATTAAAAATGAAGTTAACCATTCTTTATCAGGGGCTGAAAAATTATCGTCTGATGGAGGAGTGAATCCAACCGATTATTTTTCAAATCACGTAAGCACCAAAATTGCGAATGTGAGGAAAACAAAAAAAAAACCGATTTTTTCGCTTTGTTAACTACCTTCAATTTCTAAAAAATGTATGCTCTTTTAGAAGGCTATTTTGAAACAAGACATGATTGATCATACCAAAGCAAACACAACCCCTCTACCACCAAAATAGAGATTGGCGCTTACGTGATTTGGAAAATAATCGGTTCAATTCGCGCATGGGCTCAAAACAGAGATAAAAATTCCTGTAAGAATAACGGAATTGGAGGAAGAGGCACGCGTAGGGGGAGACGAGAAAATGTTCGGGGGCACGGGGGCACCTAGTGACCCGGTTCCCTTCACTGACCAAAATGGGGGGCTTCCTGCTTACGGGGGTCAGGAAGTGGGTCGGAGGGATGGTGACCCGATTTCGAGGCGGCGAGGGTACCGGGGATTCGGGCGACCTATTTTGCGCCCCCGCCCCCGCGCTCCGATTCGGGCTCCATGCGTCAACCTCGAAAAGGCTTCGTGGGGTTGCGCGCCGCGGCGATGGCATCATCCGGAAAACCCATGAGTCTCTTGTTCGTCTCTACACTTACGTATTTTCTCCTCGGTTCAGAATATTCCTGGATAAAATATTGAGGAGATCAAGTACGGATTGAACCAACCTCCTTTCTTGAACCTCCTGTAAAATACACCCTTACCTTTTTCATAACCTCTTGCATTTTATTTTGATTCATTGATTTATCCAGATTTCCCCCGAGAAATTGTATTCAGTTGGCTGTACACTGGGAAGAAAAAAAAAAAGAAAGAAAAAAAAAATAAAACCACATTGGATCTAGAGTTCAGACTCTTGAGAACATTGACAAGAAAAATGACTCTTGATTCAATCAGATTTAAGCTTGAATCAAAACGAAATCCGCTTAAATTAAGAGGCTTGGTTCTTGATTTAAGCTTAAATCTGATTGAATCAAGAGTATTTTTTCTTATCGATGTTTTTAAGAGTCTGGACTCTAGATCCAATGTGTTTTTTTCCAGTGTATCTCTTGCGTGCAACAGACCTTTAGAGTTGGATCATCCCTTAACAGTGGCCTAAAACTATGGGCATTCAATCGATTCGGAAGTACTCAATTATGATGCTTCCAAGTATTTGAATTCTTTCCAGCGCTTCTCAGCCGCACCTTAATAAGTTGTGCTCGCTACTTTCAATTGATTTTGCGGTGGGCAGGCACCCGTCCTACCTCCCCCAATAATTCTGCGGCCCGAAAAAAAGCATAAGATCATACATTATTCATCGGGCTCACATAGTGGATTCGTACCTTTGCTACGAGGTCGGCGTGCGGAAAATGGAGGACAAGATGGGGGGGGGGGGGGGCATTTTGAGAGGTAAATCGTGCGATGAGGTCTCGCTTCGGCTACCATCTTGCGCGAGTCGCGTGGAGGCGTCGAGGTGACCGAACCGAACCCCAGCAGCCAAATCGTAACCGAAATTGTTTTTCAAAATTAATAAAAATTTAATTACAGGAATTAAAAGATAAAATATTTCTGATAGAACCCAATAAAGCGTCCATTACAAATAGGACTAAATTTCGAAATAAGACATCACAATTTTTGGCTCATTTTGAAAGCAATGTATTTGCCATTAGTTTCTCTGTACAGAAAGGTGCTTTTTTGGACAGGTCAGAAATTATAGTTCCTTATTGCAAAATGATGTCAAATTTAGGTTGTGTCTACAGACTCCGCGGGAACAAATTCCCCGCATTTTCTAGGGTTTTCATTGCAAAAATGATAAAAATTCTCCGACTTTTCACATAGATTCTAAGCACGCGCAGGACTAAGATTGGACAATTTTGGGATTAATTGCATTAATGACAGGAATACGTGGACCTTTTTTCTTCACATATTGCGATATTTGACTAAAATTGCTGGATTTCCCTGAAAATAGTCTTCCATTCACTTTTCAGTATGTAACTCAGAGCATTGAGCCCTGAAGAAGACAAAAGCTCAGTTCCAATGCATGGGTAGGGGTGATGCTTTTTCTCGGACTTCAAGTGTCAAGATTTTTCAAATTTCCATAATTTTCTTTTCAATACAATTCTCCGACTTTCCTGATTTCTCTGATCTTATGAAATTTTCTTACAATCTCTGATTTTTCAGGCCTGCAGACAACCTATTAGACCATCTTTGCTCCGAATGTTACGATAAGAGCAGCGTTGCCTGCTCCTTCTATATTCTCCGGAAAATATCCTCATCGATACCCCACAAAACCTAACACATCTCAAGAGGATTTCAGGAGGAAATCCGACAACACTGAGGATATATGGGGGACAAATGGAGGCGACCGGGCCGCAGGACCCCGGCGAGGTTGGTCCAACCACGACTCTGGGCCCTGGGTTGCCGTTGCCGGAGTAAAAATCCGCCTACTTCACGTTGACTCTAACGGGGAACGATGAACGGAGGATCTTCCGCCGATGGGCACCACTGCCGCTGCCAGTCGATTATTCTTCTCCTGAGTCGCTCGCTCTTCTATTCGGTCGCGTGCATCAGGGGTCGATTATGCTCTTCACTCGGATGCCTCATGCCTATAACCCAGGGGGCTAGCCGGGGCAACGTATTTTAGAAACCTAACAGTGGGATCCAGGGGGCGATTATTGAAATTGATAGACAAAGCTTTGGACAAAGAGGGATCCTGATGGTGGAAATGGGTCGGGACAGAAGAGGTAGGCTAACTAAAGGCAACTCATGAAAGACCCTACAGTTAGTTTATCATTTTCTCCTTCAGTCTATAGGAACCACTTATTTCAACCAATAGGATCGCTCCATACTCCCTGTGCCTTCTTTGTCTATCGCATTGTCTATCAATTTCAATAATCAGCCTGCAGGGAATACTAGAAAGTGGGAAAAGTTTGAAAGTTGAAGCCCTCTTATACGCAATTTTCGGGATTTTGGGGTACAAATTTTGGGAGATAAGAGGGTTGAGAGTGCGCCTACAGACTTGTTCGGAAAAAATATTAAAAAGTTTGTGCGTTGAGCGAAGCAGAGGAGTAAAACATCGTGATTCGGGCCCCTTAGTGGCACCTGTACAGCGACTCCGGTCAAAATGATCATCTGGCAGCATCTATCAAGTGGTAGGTGGGTATGCACTGTTGATCAGTATACAGATCGCTTACAGTCTTACGACATTAGCGATGACCTTTGAGTTCCGATGTGTGGTGATGGTCGGACCTTCAAACTGGGGAAAGTCACGGAACTGTCCTTTCAGACGGTAACCCGGTATTGATTGAGCTCATCGGACGCATCCGCACGCAAAAGAACTTTCTAAAGCGATGCCGTTTTGTGAAACCAACCACGCAGCTTTTCCGCGGAGTACTTCAGAAAATCCTAACTGAGAACAATGGCGTGGCGTGCTTTCCGATACATCGATTTATCTGTCATTTGAACCTATGTTAAAGGATCGATAAACAGGGTGTTAACAACGAACACATTAATAATCGATTTTTTACCACAGATTCAAGTTAGGAAATTTCGATAACCGATTAATCACGCCTCGCCACTAACTGAAAAATAATTCTTATTTCTGAGCAAGGCTATAGAAACTTCTTGACCACGCAGAGAAAACAAAGGGAATTTTCAAGGGAGCCCTTGAAAAAGGCTCTTAAAATTAGGGGTGAGGGGGTTCGTATCAATATGGAATTAAGTTAAGCGTTCCGAAATCTCTCCGCAGTTGGTATACGTCGCGATGATCTATATTCGATAACTTTCGGATTAGAAATAGAAACTCGAGCTTTCGATACATTTATTTTTACCTGACCGCTAACGTCAGCATCAGGCCGGGAGGGATAAATGGACGAAAACCGTGCCCTGCTCAATACTGCTGCGCTGAGGAANTCAATACTCCTGAGAGCTGATTGTTGAAATTGATGGACAAAGCCCTAGACAAAGAAGACGAAAAGGATATCGAAGGATCCCATTAGTGGAAGCGGGTCGTTGCAATGGACAAAGGAGGTAGGTAATAGGCTAACTAAAGGCAACCCACGAAAGACCCTACAGTTTCTCTATCATTTTCTCCTTCAGTCTACAGGAACCACTCATTTCAACCAATAGGATCGCTCCATACTCCCTATGTCTTCTTTGTCTATCGCTTTGTCTATCAATTTCAATAATTAGCCCGCAGGGAATACTAAAAAGTAGGAAAAGTTGGAAAGTTGAAACCCTCTTATACGCAATTTTCGGGATTTTGGGGTAGAAATTTTGGGAGATAAGAGGGCTGAGAGTGCGCCTACAGACTTGTTCGGAAAAAATATTAAAAAGTTTGTGCGATGAGCGAAGCAGAGGCGTAAAACATCGTGATTCGGGCCCCTTAGTGGCACCTGTACAGCGACTCCGATCAAAATGATCATCTGGCAGCATCTATCAAGTGGTAGGTGGGTATGCACTAGCTGTTGATCGGTATACAGATCGCTTAAAGTCTTACGACATTAGCGATGACCTTTGAGTCCCGATGTGTGGTGATGGTCGGACCTTCAAACTGGGGAAAGTCACGGAACTGTCCTTTCAGACGGTAACCAGCTATTGATTGAGCTCATCGGACGCATCCGCACGCAAAGGAACTTTCTAAAGCGATGCCGTTTTGTGAAACCAACCACGCAGCTTTTCCGCGGAGTACTTCAGAAAATCCTAACCTAACTGAGAACAATGGCGTGGCGTGCTTTCCGATATATCGATTTATCTGTCATTTGAACCTAATTTAAAGGATCGATAAACAGCGTGTTAACAACGAACAACTGAATAATCGAATTTTTGCCGCAGATTCAAGTGAGGAAAATTCGATAACCGATTAATCACGCCTCGCCACTGACTGAAAAATAATTCTTATTTCTGAGCAAGGCTGTAGAAACTTCTTGACCACGCAGAGAAAACAAAGGGAATTTTCAAGGGAGCCCTTGAAAAAGGCTCTGAAAATTAGGGGTGAGGGGGTTCGTATCAATATGGAATTAAGTTAAGCGTTCCGAAATCTCTCCGCAGTTGGTATACGTCGCGATGATCTATATTCGATAACTTTCGGATTAGAAATAGAAACTCGAGCTTTCGATACATTTATTTTTACCTGACCGCTAACGTCAGCATCAGGCCGGGAGGGATAAATGGATGAAAACCGTGCCCTGCTCAATACTGCTGCGCTGAGGAAGAACGACATATGGGCATTCGAATGTTGCCAAATTTCATCTCAGAAAATTTGTATTCTTGAAGAAAGTTATGAATATTTTTCCTTGGTATTTTCAGGTTTTTTTGATCGAACTGTACTCGAAATTCTCTGAAAAATCAATGGAAAAATATTCGCAAATTTTCTTGAAATTCGTGGTTTGCCGAAAGGAATTTGGCTACGTCTGAAGGCACATACGACGTTCTTGCATACTCGTCTGCGAACGAAAATGAGGCGGCGGGATGCCAAGGGCAATTTTGAGCGTTGATCAATTTTCCGGTGTAGAGAAAGGGGGTGGCATAGTGGTCATCGCAAATAAGTACATACGGAGCCATCTAGTCTGTGTATCCAACGAAAATTGGCATGGTACGAGTAGGATGCGACACGACGAAGCTACCTTCCAACGGAATTGATTTTTGATTATGTTGACTCAACCTGGTATTCATTGAATAGAGAGAGGAGACGAACCAAGTGTAGTAGACTGCCCATAATTACATTCAAAAGCCAGTATTTTGTATTTTTTTGGTATTACTTTTACGCAAGGACTACGAACTTACAAATATTCTACCGTGCTAAGGAAAAACGCCGTGTGAACCTTCAGACGCTGCCAGATTTCCTTTGATAAAAATCGGAATATACAGGGAAAATTGAGAATGTTTTTGTTCAAAGTTTTCAGACAATTTTGTACGCTATTTCATCTAAAATGTCTGGAAATTTCAAAGAAAAATAAGCATGAATACTCGTAAAATTACATGTATTATCCGCGGAAATTTGGCACCTCTTGAAATTTCACACGGCGTTCTGCCTCAGTAAGGCAGTATTGCATTTGTGGATATTTCTCAGGCAAAAAAGGGATTTACTATCGAGAAGTGCGTCGAACGTCGATTAATCGCTTATATTTTCTACCTTCGATACGTCGAGCAATTTCGATGTATCGAAAAAGTTTTGTTCTGAGTAAGAAGTATACATGCATTGCTTCCAGGACTTTATGTCCACCTACCTTTCGTCCATTAAATAAATGTCCACCGCTATTTATGTCCACTAAACGTCAAGTCCAGTCTTTATTAAGTCCACATGATTTAATGTCCAACCATGAATATGTCCAAAATTGTCCAAATGGTGGACATGTTACGTCCACATTTTTTTCTTCTCATTTAAATGACAGGAACCACCTCAAAAATAAATGCATACTACTACTACCTTCATTCTTAAAAACATTTCATCCATGAATCAAGGCATGAAAGAGAATAGACTCTAGGAGCAGATAAAAACATATGTTCATGTGTACACTTTACGGATATGATAAGATGAAAACCAAAGCGGGAGCCTAGGAAACGCTCCAATGCCAAATTAAACATTTTTCAGTAATAGATGCAGTCAAAATTGAAAGTCCTCTTTAACTAGTTATTTCGTGCGCCTTCAATCGTGTAGGATACTGTGCAACGCCTCTGACGCGAGATAGTTGCTTAAAGCGTTGCGGCGCGGCAGGCAACCAACGTGACACGCGCACAGGCGCCTACAAACCTAACGGGATACTTCACGCGTTGCGCAATGCGTGAAGTATCCCGTTAGGTTTGTAGGCGCCAGTGCGCGTTCTGCGCTGCTAACACGCCGCTCCGCTCTGTGTTAGGCTCTAATATTTAAACTCGCGGTGTCAGCGTTTTTCAACTCATGATTTTGAAATATTTGCACTCTCTGCATTGATTATTCCCTTTTAAACTATGATGAAAAAGAAATATGTACTACTGAAAAATAAAATGTGTTTTTTGTAAATATAATAGTGGTTCCGTGTCAAATTTAATGATTTCCAAAGCATTCAAATTTATTCTTTTATGTTTTGGACGTATTTGACTCAAGGAAGTCGATGTACAGATAAGTTAAAAACAAAAAATTGCGTGCTTCCTAGTTTTATTCCTCTTTTATTAATTTTTGTATAGTTTCTTTCATCACAACTACGGCTCATTGAGATTCATGTCGATGCCATTGCTTGGAAACGGGTTTACAATTATATTTACCACGTTTTAAAAATGTAAATGTTTTTAAAATGAAGTAATCAATTTCATTAAAAAAAAAATGTACATTCAAGGCATAATTTATATCGGAAATTTCAAGGATAGGAATGAAACCAAGTATTTACCAAAGACAATTTGAAAAGTTGAATCAAAAGAAGAAATTAACATTTCATTTAAAATATGAGTTACGATAACAACACCTCATTCCCTCTTAATTTTCTCATTTCAATGTTGTCAATATAATTTTACACACGGACGAAAATATGACGCTTGAATTTGATTTTAGTGGACTTTACATTTGTGGACTTAACTTAGTGGACGTTTAAGTAATGGACTTAACAATAGTGTGGGCTTTGGAACTGTGGACGCAAAAATTGTGGACGATGAGTCTGTGGACGTACAAAAAGTGGACATAAAGTCCGTGTACCCATGCATTTCACTTTTCTTTAGTTAGTTAGTTATTTTATTTATAGACATTCACCATTTTAATGATTTATTAAACAACTTTTACTGTGCATAGAATTACAAAAAATACGTACAAAATAACAGTATTCAAAGAGTTTTCACTGTACGTCTTTCACGTGTCTTTTCAGGCCGACTGCCGCTGGTTGAACGATTTCATGCCTTCTCCGTCGAGAACGAATCTATAAACCTGCATGTTTAGGTACTCACACGACGATTACAATTTCACTAAATAGGTGACCGAAAACATTTCCGAGAACGCAGAACACTATTCACATCCTCACACGAGTCCACAATAATCGTAATACCGAAGAACACCCAAACTGATGCAATATTGACAACTTTTACGGCTTTAGAAACACGAGAGTGCGGTCATTATCTTGTTCTATTTCCGACCGACCGTGCATCCAATGAGATTGCAGCTGATAATGTTCAACGCATGGTGATAACTGCTGCCTTCATGTTAACAGGCGTATTATGTATACTTATGGATCACCTTCTCGAACTGGATAGTGAAGAGTGGATGACATTTTATCAAAGGCTGATAATGCTGCAAACAGCCTAAAAGTTTACTGTTATATTTGTTTCCTTATCTAAATTGTGACGTTTAACTTAGAGATAGAAAAAATACAATTTAACAGCGATACGCATCGCAGGTTTTGAGAATAGAACTAATCAAATGTTTCACCTCGAAATCTTGAAAAGAAAAACGATTGAATACGAATTTAAATAAATAAATCAATTGATAAATTAAATTTAAAAAAAAAACAAGTCTTAAGGGATGTTTCTTATGTCATTACATTAGGGGTGTTTTTAAGCTGAGGGAGACTATGAACAAATCGATTAAATCAAAAGGAATTATGTGCATAGGATTTTCGGAATATCATAGCTCATTCTGATTCGGTTCATTCTGGAACAGTTCCTTCTCACATAAATGTGTTGAATTAGTCCTACTTAAACTGAAACTGACCGAACCCGGAAAAGTGTGTAGTTATCAAAAGTGTCTAAGTTCGCCTTTGCTAACCGAATTTAAGTAGGCTAAGACTTTTGATCTGATCAAATATTTCTTCAGTTCCAACTTCCTGACTATTTTTCCTCACGATATGAAAATTTGACACACACCATCGTTAGATGAAGGCTGCATGATTCCTTATAAAAAGGAAACTATAGATCAACTTTGAATACGACTAGACCCTGTATAGGGGATGTTCCTTTCTTTCCGAAACAAAATATCGGAAATTTGGCAACGGAAGGTAAGGTGAGAAGAGTCGAAAGCTCAGAAGTCACGCGCCCCAGTCACGAGACAAGTGGACGCAGATGGTTCCGCTCTTGCCAATTTGTGCACAAAATTTATCAATTATCATCTTGGAGAGCAGAGATGGAAAATTTCATGTTTATTCGAATGAAATTTCAAGCGTGAAATTTCATGAAATATATTGAAACTTCTCGGGATACATTCAGGAGGCTAAGAAACGCCTAGAAACAGCGATTCTAAATTTTGAAATTTTCTACCCCGAGCCTAAAACATTACCCGAAAATTTCAAGAAAAAATATCCATACCACCCTCCAAAAACGAACATTTTATCGGAGGAAATTTGGCAACCCTCGAAAGTTCATACGGCGTTCTTCCTTAGCAAGGCAGCTTGGCAACATTCGAAAGATGGGTGCTCATCATCATAGCGTTCGACGTTCGGTATCAAACTGTCGGGTGATATCAATCAAATGAAAGGTCAAAGTTTTACCGAACCATTAAGTAATTTTTGTCAAAAAGGATACTTTTCTTCGAGTGGTTGTGCACCTGAAGAATACGTTAGGAAAAATTAAAAAGCGAAGTTAGAAGGACGCTTGAACGGTGTTTGACATTTCGTTTATCTACTGCCACCTATGCAAACAGCCTGATGCACTCTCTTCACCTCAATCAATAATGCAAGAGTGACTGTTTCAAGTAGGTAATTAAATCACGCGCTAAACGGTTGAAATGATCGAGCCGTTCCCCCTACGTGATTTGAAAAAAAAGAAAAACATTTCCATCGATCCATGCGCACTCCAAGGTACACTATTCTGCCATGCTAAGAAAAAACGCAGTATGAACTTTCAGGCCTTGCCAAATGGACCGAGTTTATCAGAAAGGAACCAACCCACATCTTTTAAAAAATTGAGTTAAGAATTTTTTCGAGTTCCACTAGCCGTATATTTTCTCCTGTCGAAAATTGAAAGTTGAAAAACAGAAATTAGTTTGTGAAAAGAGGGATTGAAGTTCTTTTTCCACAATGAGCCTTATGCAGGAATTCAACTTCAAACCTCTTTTTCTCAGTTTCAACATAATGTGGGTTGGTTCCTTTCTGATGAACTCGGTCCAAATTTCCTTCAATAAAAAAAGCATTTACTGAGAAAATGTTGAATATTTTTCTTCAAATTTTTCGGATGATTTTTTTCGCAATTGAATGTAAAATATCTGAACATTTTAAGGGAAAATATGTATAAATTTCCTCAAAAATAAAAGTTTTATCCAAGGAAATTAGGCCACTCTTGAAAGTTCATGCGGCGTTCTTTCTTAGGACGGCAGTATTGGGCCGCTTCAGATACTACGGATGTCAATTAGTTCTTCAGCGATGGCTTCTCATTGAAAACTCGGTATAATATTGACAGACTCATGGCGCTTTGTTTATTTCTAAAACAGGTACGGAAAAAATTTAAATTATTCCGCAACTTTCTTCGATAACTTAGTTTCAAATGGCGGTATAGCAGGATTATGTAACGATATTGATTTAGGTTTTGGGGCACCCCTCAAGAACATGTGATTCGAACGTAGGTCCTCGGCACGTTACGCTGAAAAGAACGCTCTCTTTCAGTTTGCATCGTTGTTTGATCAATTTGTCTCTCGAAAAACATTTCTGCTTCCAAAAAATTACCGAAGTTTTTTAAGATTTAAATTGTTGAGTAACACTACGTTTCAGACCCCCTTCCCTCCTTGTAGCGTACCGTAAAAAGTGATGCGCTAGCTACGAATGCATCTATACGACAAATTTTTCAAACTTAGAAATTGGGGGGAAAAAGTAACGAGAAATCATTCCTCCTCACAATCAGTTCAATATCTTGGTTCGAAAAAAGTCCTCCTCTAATCAATTCGAAAGCGACGTTTTCAAAAAAATTTTGAGGCTCTTCTATTTTCCTCATTTCAGAAAAAATTGAGTATTCGGCAGCCATCCCAGTTTTTCGAAACGGATTTTTACCTAAAAATAGGTTCATGATGTACTTTGAACGTTGTTTCCTCAGTTTCCGGACATGGAAAGTATTGAAACTGGGCTGGGCGCACATTTCGCGAGCCAAGATTTTACGTTCAGAAGGAGATTCGGCAGCAACGGTCGAATAATATAGAGAGAGAAATGCCAGATCCGGAGATGGGAGATCTACGGGAGCGAGAAGGATCGAAGCGCGTACATGAAAATAACTCGTTGGCAGCGGGGTAGGCTCGGTCAAACTAATTCCGTTTTCCGACCGGACGCAATACGGAAACTTTCAACGTCAGAAATACGCGATTAATCGCAGGTGCCGTGAACAACTAACGACTTATAAACTTCTTCTTCTACATTGCCTGGAAGAGGCTCATCTATTATTTATTAAAAATATAGAGCGAGATAAAGGAGTGCCAATTCGAAAGAGAAAAAAAAAAATATTGATATTTTTATCCGACTTCGAATTTGTTTTCAGTGACGTGAAACTTCTCGTCGTAGTTAGTTTCAGCTGATTGTGAGTTAGATCTGGAAAATTTCGCAAAATGATCAATTTCAAGCGTCTGGACCGAGTCTTCCGTTATCCCGGTTTCCTCTTATGATTCCTCGATTTCCGAGTTGCAGGACACCCTGCAATGACGAGTCGTGAATGGTCACTCTGAATATAGATCCTTTTCCATGGCTTGAATGGAAGATCAATCGATACATCGCAAAATACACTACGCCACTGACACCCTGTTTCCATCAAGTCTGCGAACGAGTCCATTCCTCTTGGCTTGCGAGAAAAGGGTCTGCTACGTCACGAATCCCTTTCCGTGAAAGTGTCATTACGGAGTCTAGTTGAAATTGATCGATATCAAACGGTGGTTAATTAGACATATTCCCCACTTAATGTTAGAGTGCGCCGCGATCTTGGAGCAGCACTGTACTTTGCGAGATATCGATTCATCTACCATTAAAACCTATGGAAAAGGATCGACAGAGGGTGTTCGCAATGAGCACCTTAGTAATCGATTCTTTACCATAGCATCAAACGGAGAAATATCGAAAATCGATCATTCACGCCTCGCCACGAGGACCAGGAAACACCACCGTCGCGACGACGCGACGGACGCCAGGATCAGAGGTCAACGGTCGGACCCCTCTGCCCTCGAGACGATGCATTAGATCGAGCGGTATGCTGCCATGCTAAGGAAAAACGCCGTATGAACTATTAGGCGCTGCCAAATTTCGATTGTAAAGACACGAATTTCCTGGTAAAATTATGAATATTTTTCCTCCAATGGACCACTAGACAAGGTACGAATTTCAGCATTCTGATACATGTTTTGTAACTAAAATTTCACGTAGAACACAATGCGCACATAGAAAATTACCGAAATTAACTCCTTACGAAGATATTTGATGATTCTTGATGCGTGAATTCAAACCACCCGCTCATTAAAACTCAGTGCTCTACGTGATTCACATCACGCGCTAAACGTTATCATGACAGTCTCTGCGATGTACAAATCTGGCAACCTCAGTCTTGACGCTTTGGCTCAGCTGTAGCAAATTGCTTATAGTTTGAACAACACATGGTGGAAAATGAACATTGCTCGATTGAGAGGCTTACAGAAACCGTTGTAGTGCGCGATTTGATTCACGTAGAGTTTTGAGTTTCTTGTGAGCGGGCAGTTCAAACTCCTCGTAACCAATGTGAAATAAAAACGTTAATATCTTCGTTAGGAGTTGGTTTCCGTAATTTTCGTTGTGTGAATCGTTTTCTACGTGAATTCTGGTTAAGAAATATGTATCAGATCGCTTAAATTCGTACCTTGTCTAGTGGTCCATTCCACCTAAAGTTCCTGAAAATTTCAAGGAAAAAAATTCATAACTTTCCTCAGAGATAAATATTTTATTGAAAGAAGTTGACAACTCTCGAATGTTTATACGGCGTTCCTCCTTAGCACGGTAGTATGGAAACCACTCCGCTCAATCCTAGGTAGGATAATTTCTAAAATGTCCATTTATGTGGTGAGCCCCCAAATGTTAACATTCTTAGGCAGCCTGAGGGTCATCTGGAAATCGACGTGTTTCCTTTCGAAAATTACTCATTCA